ATCCGATATACTTTTATGGAAGTTTGCTTGATCTACTAATATTGGATATTTTATAGTTATCGCAGTGATAACTGTCGTGTTAATATCAAAGAAAGATTGCTATTATGTGTTTCTGATGAATCTTCACGTATCTTCGCAATTAAAAGTATGAAATTTAAATAGAAATTACTTTGTTACTTGCAAAACATACTTTGATCCTGCGATATTTTATCCTGTAATCAACAGGTAGATTGCAGGATGACTTTGCATAGAAAAATAAGTCGGAAAATGAAGAATCACATATTCTTCATTGGAGATTTCGAGAAGATTGAGTTCGAAAATGCATAAAGTGTACTTGAATCTAGCTAATTCTGGGATATGAAGGAGATTAGTCTACATGAGAAAATAATTAAAAAATGTAGTTTCCCAAAGTAGAAACGAGCGTATACAATACATTTTAAAATCTTTAATAATATTTTTATATGATGACAATTTTACGACGTGATATATAATTATAAAATATAATTATAAAAAGTTTTTCTGGGGAAATGGTATCCTTAAGGGAGGTGATAGAGGAGTAAATGTTCCATAAACGTGGTATCACATAAACGACATAAAAAGATGTTTCATGCCACTCTTTCTCTCTAGGTTGCACATCATTTTGTAACAGTCCCAGCTACGATGAAATTTCAATATTGATCTCGAACTGTGTATTACATTTACACAAATAAATTACGTTTAGCTTACGTTTTCCTTTTTTCCACCTTTGAAACGTATGAATTTCTATTACGAAGAAATTCACGATTGAATAACACGGGAGGAAACGAGGAACGAAACTTTAATGAAAACGAATCGTAAGAAAGGTGAGCTACGGAGTTGGGGTATTATGTTTCCGGTCTTTCAGCAATAATGCTACCTGGTACAAGGAAACCGACTGTAAATACATATTGTTTAATCTTCGTGTTTAATCTTCCTTGACCTGAATTTTTCATTTCCTACGTCATTCTTGGTTATGTTGAATTGAGAATAACCGAAGTCTGGCTTTAAGAAATATAGGTATATGCAGAATATGGAATCAAATCTTGCTAAATGTTACACTTTCTTACACACAATACATGTGTTTCGTATTCATTCAGAATTAAAACTGAAATATTTTTCTATAGAATATACATGCATTGATCTGAGGAATATTACCAGCTCTCCCATGAAAATTTCATAAAATAATGATGTTCATAAACTAGTGAGGAATTTTAAAATAACATTTGACAACAGTTAGTTGTGAAAGTATTCGAATACTTGTATGAACGTTTTATTTCATTAATGTCGTAATGAGACCCAACTATCATGACTGCAAAAGGATCAATCCTATAAATTGAAACAGGTAGAAGAATGATAACTAGAAATATTTCTTTTTGAAATTGCCCCTGGTAAAATTTACAAGCGTGCTATCTCATTTCGATAAATAAATTTATAAGAATAAGATTTCTTTTCTGCCATGTAAAATATTAGCCATATGTAAATATTAGTTATATCCAATAATGTTAATTAAACTTGATTAAAATCTTGAAACATTTAAGTTGCCTATTTATATTTATGTATATTATATATATATATATATATAT